TTAGTGTCCTGTTCGACGCCGAGGCCGGCATCCGGAGCGGGAGGGGCGAGCTCTTTACCCAAGGGGCTCCGCGGTGCCGGCCCGACCCGGAAGTGTCTACATCAACCGGATGCGGGGCGCGAGTTCCGTAGGCCGTGGAGCCTGCGGAGTTTTTTCGATTTGGGGCTGGAGGCTTCGGAAGGCCTAGCCCGGGAGGATGATGGGGTATCGGAGGGTGAGCGTGCTAGGTGAGTGTCCCCAGCCCGACTCGCGCGGACTCGAGGCGGCCGTCAGGGTCATCACTCCTCGATCCCTCCAGCTGCAGGCTTTGGGGAGGCAGATATTAACACTGGGCGCTTTGAAAACCCAGCCCGCAGGGAACAGATGGGAAAGCGGTGCTAGGAAACGCTGGATTCAACGTTCTGACAGTCCTGGAAGCGTGGGCACAGGGGTGGATATGGAGAGCGAGGCGGTCAGATGCTCTGTGAGAGAGCGCTTGAGCTTTGCCCTACAAACGTCGAGAGCCACTAAAGGAGCTTATGTATTTGTGAGCATCTCTTTACTGATCTTTGATCCTGCTCCATGGGCTCATGTTTTGTTTCATTTCTTGCATGAGAAAGGGAGACATGGAGAGAGGCACCCCCACAGGGTCCTCATCACAATTCCCCCAGCCTCAGCTAGCTTGAATCAGTGTACAGGAGACCTCGGGACTTGAATCCTGGGACCTTCACATGTAAGGGGGTGCCTCACAGATTGTATTATTGCTACCAGCGTGGTTCACAATCACCTATCACAGTTGTGCAGGAGGAGCAGATGCCTATTTCTTAGCAGTTGCTGCAGTTAACTTTCACCAGGTCCAGTAATAGCCCCACGTGTGTGGGAGCTTGGGTGAGGGACAGCCACCTCCCACATGGCGACTGTGGTCTGAATCTCTTGCCTGGTCTGAAATACCAGGCAAATGTGTACATGCTCAAGATCCAGTTGGCTGGAGAACTGGAGAAAGGGGATCACAGGGGGACCAGGTTGGAGAGTATTAGAGAAGGTGGGGTGGGTATAGGTTGGAGAGGAAACTCAGGCATAGGAGAAAGCCCAAAGGCAGTTTCAGACACTGAGCTGCCAATGACTACCTGGCTCAAATTGGCCTGACCCAAGGCCAGCTATGAAGCTGGCTGTGCCAACTAAGGCCCAATCTGTCATCTCCTCTTTGCTGTCAAGGGCATGATTACAGATGCCCGCAGCTCTGTGGGCTATAGGTGCACATTGTCCAAGAATGAAGGAATTTCCTAGTCTCTGAAGTTTCCCCCACCCCCACTTGTTTAATATTGGCTCTGCCTATACTGGCCAAAGGAGTAGGAAATCTTGGTGCTCTACCAGTCAAAGCCAGGCCCTGATGCTTGAGACAGGCCATAGAACCCAAGCTCATTCCTGCATGAGGGGAGACCTGGGATGGTGGGCAACAAAGTGCTGGGAACAGCCCACAACAAGAATCTGATATGTCTTGGGAACCAGCAGTTAACATAATGGCTATGTCACTGGACTCCCACGTAGTTGACTGCGGTTCGCTTCCCGGACCCGGTGGCTTAAACTCACGCCGGGCGCGTGTGCGTGCGTGGCCAAGATCCCCAGAGGAGAATGGAGAAGGGATTGTGGCGTGACCATCCCCCCTGGGGGGTGATTTCTCGCTTTCTGTCTCTGTCTGGTGAGTGCATGCGCCCTATAGCAAACACCTCTCCAAAACAAAAAAAAAAAAAAAAGAATCTGATATGTCTCTGCCTGTCTGCTTTTATCAAGGCCATGATAACACAGCAAGCACAGAATTAGGTCCCACACACCAAAAGGCTGTGTCTCCTCACTCTGTGATCTATTCAGTAGCCATTTATTGGTAACTGCTGTGGTTTGAGCACCTTATGCACAAAACCAGGCAGTACACTGTGCAGCAAAGACCAGGAACAAGACTCAGCCTCTGGCTTCCAAATGTTTATAGTGTCCATCACTAGGTATAGTGACAAAGGCTGGGAGGAGGGCCTTCCTATGAAAGGCAGGAAGCTAAAAATGACACTGACTTGCACTAGAGATGGAGTAGAGGGCAGACTGAAAAGACTGTCAGAAAGTACATGGCCAAGACTTAATTGGTTCCTTATGAGATTGGAGGTGGGAACTTAAGTCCAGGGCAAGAGCCAAGAATGACTCCCAGGCAACCGCTGGCTAAGGGTGAACAGTGACAGCACAGGACACAGTGGGTACATTGGAAGGGGAAGGTAGGCACTCAGATTGGTGTCTTGGAGCAAAAAATGGTGTCTTGGAGGAGGAATGGCTAGCCAGGGCCAGCAAGCCTAGTGTTTGAGAGTGTGTATTGCCACATAAACATGGAAACCAGCAGCAGGCAGACAGTAACTGCCAGTGGGCCTGAGAGCTTTCTAGAACATGTGCAAGAAAGAGGGGTCCAGGGCTGAGTGTCTCTTGAATCTTCTTTATAGCAGACCAAGATCACCGAGCATGGCTGGATCGCCTGTGGACCAGTGATAGGAAGTAGAGACCAGAAGTGAGGCAGAGGAGAGCTGGAGAGGGGCATGGAGACAGAGGGTTCCACACAGATGGGCAAGCTTGTGGGTAGAACCAGGTCCCTGGAAGGACCAAGGGAAAGACTTGGTCCTGAGCAGTTGGGGACATAGTCGTTGAAACCAAGAGATTAGGTGTCTGTGGATCAGTGCTGGTAGAGCTATTGTGGTTCCCACCATCATTGAGAACATACTCCTGGACTCAGTGGAATGCAATTTAGTTAACATACCTCCCCAGGGGCAATTTCTACACTGCAGTGGTTATAAGCTGCTCAAGGGGGTTGGCAGGTTACGTGGTGGTTAAGTGTTGAACTCCCACAAGGCTGACCACAGTTTGGAACCAAGACCTGGCGGCTTTCTTTCTTTCTCTCTCTCACGCTGTCCCTACCTGGTCATATTTAAATAAATAAATAAATAAATTCTTAAGGGGAAAAAAAAAAAAGAAAAAGCTGCTCAAAAGAAGCCATATTCCATATGACGACCATGGTCCGGATCTCTCACCCTGTCAGCCTGAAACACTGGGCAAATATGTGAGTGCCCAAGATCCACTTGGCTGGAGGACTGGAGAAGGGAACTGTAGTGGGACCAGACCTTGTAGAGGCGACTCCTTTCTCTCTCATACACATACTGTTATGAATAAAAAAATAAATTAAAAAAAGACCTCCTCAAGTGTTCTGAGTTTGGGAGCCTCTTTGGGAAAGTCTCCAAAAAGTTCATGGGAAGTATGTACTAAGAAGAAACTATGTATGGATTTCAATACTTTTCTGCACCAAATGAACTCAGACTTTAATTCATTTCTTTGCAAACTTTATGAAGTACTCTCAATACACATGGCCTATGGGGGATAAGCTGAGACTGGGACCAGGACCACCACCTGCCTGCTGTGGGGGTCTCCAGCTGATCCCTGTTGGGCCTGGAAACATGGAGGAAGACAGCAGGGGAGCTAAGACTGATATCCAGAGTGTCAAAGACCTGAGCCAGTGTCTCTGCTGGACACAAGGAAGAGACTAGAGGAAGGTGGAGGGATTGGCTGGGAAGCTGAGTGTCGAAGGGGCTGCTCATACTGCCCTTGAGGAAAGCTAGGGTCAGAATTTAGGGTCTTGTGCAAACCCCCTAATTTTCAGAAGGAAACCATATGCAGTTGCATCCTTGCCACAGTGGCCTCTTTCAACATTCCCTACAAGTACCTCTGGCAGAGGGCACCCTAAGGTGTGTTCACTTGATGCCAAGAAACAACTCACAGAGCTAAATGTTACACAGCTTTATTTGTACAATATACATAAGATGGTCCTGTGAATCTATCTCCTTGAGAGAAAATGGACCTATTATTAAAATGTAAATAGGCAACTACAAACCATAAGTAATTATTTTGCTCCTACTTTGGTCATTATAATAGGAGGAAAAACATCGCTTTTCTAATTAACACTGCTGCAGCCCCATCAGTGGTACTGCACCACTCTGGAAAATATACCTTCAGGCTCCTTTCCATCCCCCAAGGCAGCAGCAAATCCTTCCTGTCGCCTCCTTTTGGCCAAAGCAGCCAAAGATTTAAAAGTCTTTGGTTCATAGATGGCTAGATCTGCAAGCACTTTTCTGTTGAGCTCCACCTGGCACTGGGAAGAAAGAATCAAAGTCTATGGTCAGCATAGGAAGTTATGAAGACTAGCTCAGAGTCCTATGGCATGAGTCACCATTTAGTCCTACTGCCAGCTCACAGAATTAGAATTAAGATTGCTGGGACCAGCAGTTAGTGTAATGGCTATGTCGCTGGATTCCCATGTAGTTGACCGCAGTTTGAGTCCTAGACCCAGTGGCTTAAACTCATGCTGGGCACGTGTATGTGCGTGCCCAAGATCCCAAGAGGAGAAAGGAGGAGAAGGGATTGTGGTGTGGCCATTCTCCCTAGGGAGTGACTTCTCGCTTTCTGTCTGTCTCTCTCTGGTGCACACACGTGCCTTATAGCAAAAAAAAAAAAAAAAAAAAACCCCCCCCAAAAAAAAATTCCAAATGGGGACTGGCAGATAGTGTGGTAGTTAAGGCACTGGGCTCCACATGGCCAATCAGAGGTCGAGTCCCAAACCTGGCAGCTTGCTTTCCCACTCTCCCTCTGTCCCTCTCCCTCTCTGGTCAAACTGAAGAATAATAATTAATAAAAATTAAATAATTCTAAAAAAAAAAAAAGACTGCTAGCTTTAACCCTTCAAACTAACTTGGAAATTCCCATGAGGTCGCTAAGCCTGAGGACCAGCAGATGTAGTAATGGTTATATCGCTGGATTCCCACATGATCAAACGCAGTTTGAGTTCCAGACCCGGTGGCTTAAGACTCATGCTAGGTACATATGCATGCGTGCCCAAAATCCCAAGAGAAGAGAAAGAAACGCGGCATGGCCATTCCTGCCCTGGGGGTGGGGGGCGGGGTAGTGCTGGCTTTTTGTCTATCTCTCTCTCTCTCTCTCTCTCTCTCTCTGGCAAGCACCCTATAGCAAAAATCCTTAAAAAACTAAATTTAAAAAAAAATTTTTTTTTTAAGATACTAAGTCTGGTCTATCAAGGAATCTACCAAGTAAAACTGCAGGTGATTTCAGAAAGCTAATGAATACTGCCAATGAGTCTAAGGATCGGGAAAAAAAAAAGAAGAGTGGCACATTAAATGTAGCTATCAAGGATGGAGTGGACCTACACTACTACTAACTGTGACCTATTTGCCCTGGGCACCAAAGATGGCCAGTTGCAAGGTACAATAGAAGAAAAATGCCCACCCCCAACTTAAATAAAAAAGTGTGTACATATGTATACACAGACACACACACACTTCCAGTTCTGCTCTACTGCCAGCAGGCCAAGAGAGCAATAAGGTAAACCCTAAACATGCCAAATTCTACCCGAAAAGCAGAAAGGAATGTTAAGGCACAGCCCCAGGAGCTCCCCTTGCCTATGTTGCATGGACCACAGTCAGGCAAAATCATGCCTGATGGGCCCAAATCCTCACCTTACCTTAACTAAATTGGCCATGAATGCTGAGTACTTCAGGCCATGTTCCTGGGAGGCAGCTGTAATTCGATTAATCCAGAGCTGAAATAAAACACCAAGATGCTTAATGACTTTTAGAGGCCAGCAGGTGGTGTGGTGGTTAAGGCATCAGACTCTTAAGTGGCTTACCACAAACCAAGTCCTGGGCTCAGTGGCTTGAAAATCAAGCCAGGCATGTGTGCATGCATGCCCCAAATCCCAAGAGAGTGGAGAAGAGATTGCAGTGTGGCCATCTCCCAGGGGTATAACTTCTCACTTTCAATCTCATTGTCACTATCTCTCTCTCTGCCAATGCATATGCCTTCTGGCAAAAACTTAAAAAAAAAAGATTTTTGGATGTTACGGCATACCTTCCAGAAAGGCTATGACTGAACAAAGATTTTTGCCCCCTATAGGGCACATATGATTGCCGGGGGTTGGGGGTAGGGGTGGGGCAGTGAGAAAGCACCTCCCATGGGAGATAACCACACTGCAGTCCTTTCTCCTCCATTCTCCTCTTGGGATGTTGGGCATGCAAGCACATGTACCCAGCATGTTTTCAAGCCATAGAATCTGTGACTCAAAATGCAGTCAGCCATGTGGGATCTAGTCACTTTAACCACCATGCCCCCTTGCTGGCTTCAAAAAGTTTTATTTTTTGTAACAATAAATAGAGCAATTTTCTATTCAGGCAAACATGCTTAAAGTTCAAACAGTAACACCAAGCAAAGGTTGATGCTCTTCAACCATCATCAATTTCATTTCTAAATAGTAAGCTGGGAAGTTGTACGCTGTAAAACATTAATTCAAACTCATTTTTTCAGGCACCAAGAACATAAATGAACAAGGGATTCTGTAGCTGCCACAGTCTAGAAAAGATCTGTGGATGAATTATTATGGCCAGAGATGAGTGCGGACAGAGGCAGGGACCAAACACTCAAGGGAGAAACTGGCAGTGAGGTAACATGAGAGAAGAATGGGGCTGGCAGGTTTAGAGGGAGGAAAGCTCCTCACGGGACCCAGCTAGAAAAGGTTTGTTCCAAGATCTACAAACACCTGAACACTTGTAACTGAATCCAACAGCAGAAAGTGAAGCTATAGGCATGAAAAATGTGGAAGCATGAGTCAGAGTGACACTTGGTAGGATGTGCTAAGATGGAAGTCTTGAATGGATCTGCTCTGGAGTTTCTGCAGCATAGTAACTGGTGTACACCTCTGCACACTGTTCCACTAAACATGGCAGGACCAAACACTGTGGAGCAGGTAACTCCACTGCTTGGGAAGCTGGAAGCCACATGGGAGGCCCAGGTTTGGTTCCCAGGCCAAACAAGCTAGGCATGGTTGTGTGCACCCATAATACTATCTAATTGGGAGGCTCAAGAGAATCACAATGTGGCAAGACCCTGTTGAAAATCTCAATGATAAGGAGGAGAAAAACAACAATGTGGGATGCCTGGGAGAGGACTCTTCCCCCCCCCCATAATGCCATGTATGCTCACCAGAGAGACAAACAGAGAGGAAAAGTGAGAAATCACCCTGTGGGATAATGGCCATACTATAATCCTTTCTCCCGTTCCTTCTCCCCCATTCACCTCTTGGGAGTTTGAATGCACAGACACATAGGGTGTTTTTCAAGCCACCAGGACCAGAACTGTGCAGACAACCATGTGGGATCTAGCACCTTAACCACCATGCCTTTTGCTGGGCCCAGGGGACTCTTTTTAAGCCATTCTCCCCACCCCCATTATTGCCTGAGGGCACATGTGCCCACCAGAGGTAGGGAAAAGGAGAATGCATGCCACATCCCTTCCCCCCCCACTTCACCATCCAGGTGTGTGGGGCATGCACACACAGCTTCCCAACATGTTTTTCAAGCTGTCCGAGGCCAAGATTCAAACAGTGTAGTATTCATGTGCGCTGTGGCTTCCTTGACAACGAGGCTATGGGACCCACCTGCTGGTATTTATTTATGAATCTTTTAAAAAATTATTAAAATTTATTGATTCATTTATTTTTCACTTCACCATCCAGGTGTGTGGGGCATGCACACACAGCTTCCCAACATGTTTTTCAAGCTGTCCGAGGCCAAGATTCAAACAGTGTAGTATTCATGTGCGCTGTGGCTTCCTTGACAACGAGGCTATGGGACCCACCTGCTGGTATTTATTTATGAATCTTTTAAAAAATTATTAAAATTTATTGATTCATTTATTTTTAATTTGACAGAGAGAGACACGGGGGAGGGGGGGAGTGAGAAAGCAAGCCTTCAGGTCCCAGGACTTGAACCATGGTCAGCCATGTGGGAGTGTCCAGCACCTTAACCACCATGCCACCTGCTGGTCCCATTATTTATGAATCTTAAAACAGCATTCAAGCTGATTTTTCTCCCGTCTACTTCAGTGATTCTCAAATTTGAACCTGTGGGACCAGCAGATGGCACAACAGTTACATTGCTGAGCTCCGAGGTAGTCAACTGCAGTGTGAGTCCTGGACTCAGCAACCTAAAACTCACCCCAGGCTCGTGTGTGTGCCTAAAATCCCAAGAGGAGAAGGGATTGTGGTGTGGCCATCCCCCCAGGGAGTGATTTCTCCTTTTCTGTCTCTCTGGTAAGCACACAGGCCCTATAGCAAAAACTTAAAAAACAAACAAACAAAAAAAAAACAGTTGAACCTGCATCAGAATTACATGGAGGTTGGGGCTAACAGGTGATATGGTGGTTGAGGCACATGGCCAACTGTGGTTCAACTCCTGGACCTGGCAACTTGCTTTCTCACTCCCCCGCTCCCCATCTATCTCTGGTGAACGCATGTGCCCTACAGCAAATTTTAATAATAATAATAGAATTAAATAATGCTTTAGAAAAAAAAAAGAATTACTTGGAGATTTGTTACCACGGTGGGGCTGGGCCTCACTTCTAATGTTCTTAACTCAGTAGGTCTAGGAGAACCTGATAATTTGCATTTCTAACAAGTTCCCAGATAAGGAAGGCTGCTGCTATCTCCCACCTTGAGAACCTCTGTTCCCCTGCTCAAGCTGGACTGTTTTAAACCAGACACTGTTCATAACATTTCATAAACACATCTGAACTGCCTGAATCCTCCTGGGACCCTAGGAAGCGATCACATCTATATTTCACTTTAAGTTACAAGACACCTAAACCCACAGAGCAGGTCCAGAATGATGTGGGATCCACACTCCCATGAGAGTGTATCACATTAGGACTCTAACCTGTGGTTATGAAGTTATGACTTTTAAGGGTCAGAAGCAGCTTCTTACCACCCCCCCCTTACTCATTCAACCAATGTTTACAAAGGGTTCCTGACCTAGTATCTGGATTACAGCAGCACTCAAAGGAACAGAAAGATCCTCTGTGAAGTGTTCGTTCATTCTAGCCAAGCTGAGGGAGACCACCAATAAACAACTAAGTAATACACAGTGTGACAGATGCTAAGTTCTCAAAGTGGGTAGGGGTGAGGTACCCAGCTGAGAAAGTGGCCTTGGAACAGGGCCAAGGAGCAAGATAACGGCAAAAGTGAAGGGTTTCCTCAGCCAGGAAAGAGCTTGTGAGGAAGCAGGCTTGAGCTCTAACAGGAGGAGCCGGGAAGCCAAGAGTGGCCCTGGAGCAGATGAGCAAGGGGACAAAGGGGTGTTCAGAGTAAGCTGTTTGGGATGGAAAGCCACCGAAGGGTTACATGCAGAGGTAAGCAGACAGAATAGTGGTTGGCGATGCAGGAAGACCAAAAGGTAACTATTGCAGCAGCCTGGAGATAGGGCAGCCTGGAACAGGAGTGCAAAGACCTGAATACCCCACATTCTGTCTGACGGAACAATCTGCTGGAGTTCCGGAGGTGCGGTGTGAGAAACAAAGATGTGTGTACTAAGGTTTTTGAGGGAGCTTCCAGCCGAGGGGTGGAGCTTCCCCGGGGTCCTGGCTTACTGTCCGCATGTTCCTCTTCTTCAGTCTTCGGGCTTTGGTGCATTTCACGTAGGCTCTAGTCACAGCTCTGATGGCTAACTTGTAGCAGCGGTTCTTCCTCCCCCGGAAGTGCTGGGTCAAAAAGTGAAAAACGAGGGAACCAGCAGTTAGCGTAATGGCTATGTCGGGTCGACCGCGGTTCGTGTCCCGGACCCGGTGGCTTAAAACTCACGCCGGGCGCGTGCGTGCGTGCCCAAGATCCCGAGGGGAGAATGGAGGAGAAGGGATTGCGGCGTGACCATCCCCCCTGGGGGGTGATTTCTCGCTTTCTGTCTCTATGTCTCTCTCTGTCTGTCTGGCGAGCGCACGCCCTACAGTGAAAATCTCTCCCAAAAAAAAAAAAGTGAAAAACGAGAGTTGCTGGTGGGTCCCACGAGACACCCCGGGAGCCCCGATGCTCAGAGGGCGCGCGGGGGCGACACTCACCCGGGCATGCTTCAGCACCTCTTGGACACGCCAGTAGCGGTCGGTCAGGCGGTTCCGCAGCCACAGCCGCGCCGTAAGGAAGGCCAACCGGGTCGCCG